AATATATAATTACAGAAAAAAGAGGAGTTGGTCAAAAGCAAATCGATAAGTAATACAGTTTTTAAATGATTACATTTAAAAACTGTAATACAGTTGAACTAAGCCAATATATAACTTTACAATCTGTACTGATTTATAACATTGCTTATTAGAAATGTGATAAGAAATTATAAAACCAACACTCTCTTTATTTTTTTCCTTTTCTTTATTTATTAATTTTCTAATAACCGCAAAAATTACGTGAAAAGAAACCAGCTGTTGCTTCTTTCTAAACCACTAATTAATTGTGAAAAATTTGGTTCAAGTATAGTCTAAAAATTAAAAAAGTGACAAGCAACATTTGTAGGTGTTCTTTTAAAAACTTTTTATGATCCTTATACATTTGGTTGGCTTTAACAAAAACGATAGCCAAGAATCAGAAACATGTAGAAAAAAACGAAATGGCATGATCATCTAAACTAGAACAAAAAAAAAAAAAAATGAAGCGCCAAAAATTTATCTTTGGGAGAAAAACGTAAACAGTAAACAGATATATAAAATAAAAATAAGAGTAGCAAATTGTGTTTTAGAAGATTAATTAATTAAAAACAATTATTTTTTTGTGTTCTAAGAGATTGATATTTATGTAAAAAAGCAAACAAAAAAACGGTATACTAAGAAAACTGAACGGTAAATTACTACCGAAGCAATGTTAAATGTTGGTCTATGATAGTTTTAGACAGAAACAAAGCACTAGAAAAGGATAAAAGTGTGTGCGTAACATGAGAATCATTCATGACGGCAGTCACCCGTTACCAAGCGAGTACAAGAACAGTATTTTGAGAAAAAAAAAGATAAAAAGTAACATTTTTTCCACATAAGTTTACTCCTCCTTAAGAAGACGGTTCAGTAATTTCTGCAGCATTTAAGTACTGTTGTAACTGAACGGGACGACGGATTCGCCTGGGTAATGATTTCTTTAGCATTGATTCACTGGGAAAAACTGCGTAAGTTTTCCGCCTAGTACTTTTGATTCTATCCTGTACATTTGATGGTAATTGTGGCGGTGAAGATTCTGGAAGTGGCGGAGGTACATTGGATACCGCTTCACCGGCAACTTCTGCTGTAGACGACACGGTACGTGGCGACGGAATTTTCGATGGAGTTAGCGCCGACACCGTTGACGCATTCAGTATAGAAGTATCGCTTATTTCTTCCGTGATTATGCTGCTGCTTTCAAAATGTTCTGACATCGTCTTTGGCGCTTTTAACAACGATGCCGTTTTCGGGGAAACTGATGATAAATTAGCCAAGCTGGGCCGAACTTTACCGTATTCAAAAGTTGGCAATCGTGATGGTTGTGTCGTCGGTGCGATGCGGTTCACTAACTTGTTCTTTGTTATTGATACCACAGGTATTCGGCTGGCTGGTCGTTTTTCTGGCTCACTGGTTTCCTCCATCGGTATGTCTAGTGATTTCTGATCTGTTTTACTTTCCTCATCGCTCAGTGAATCGACACCTACAATGGTTTTTTAAGAAGGAAAAAGAGGGGTTCTAAAGAAAAACAGGAAAAATAAGCAGAAAATTGCTTTATTACCAGTTTTAATTTTCTGTATTCGTATTTAACTAATGCTAACTGCTTAAATCACAAACGGTGATTTACAGGCGTAAAATGCTAGCAAAAAAAGGTAAATCAAATTAAAACTTTGGAATCAAGGTACCAGAATCAGATGATTTTGTTGACTTTGGCGAAGATTCTTCATTTTTCTCTTCTTTCTCGTCATTTTCTGGTAACGGGATATTTATGGAATGCTCATCTTCACATTCCTCTTCCTTTATAGCATCTAAGGTCGGTGTATGTCGCTTAAGTCGAATCCTTTCTTTAGCAATATCAATCATTTTGCGCAGTTCAATGATAAACTGCTGAGCTACGGGCGGTGGATTTGCCATGACTTCGGGTTCCAAGAATTCTGTAAAACAAATTAAAAGTCTTGCTTTCTTTTTCCGGAAAATTTTCGGGGTTGAACAGCTGCGCGTAAAGCTAAAACAGTTACCGGCGTTAAAGTAAAGCTTTCGTTTAGTCGGACATTCGGACTGTAAACGTTCTTCCAAAGTTCTGTCCATTTGACGGATATAATTTGCTCTTATTGCTGTTATCTGTTCCTCCATAAACATCTGATGAACAAAATGAAGTTAGCTGAGTATACTCTTTTAATAACACTTAGGAGCACCAGTATATGGCGCGATATAGTTTTGTACTTTAGGGTAGTTTTTCTAAACAATTTTTACCGGAATACCGATTTGCATCAAGTAATTTATCATTTAAAGTAATCGGAAATCTATTAAAGCAAGTTAGGCAACAAAACTTTTATTTCCTTTTTTCAAAAAAAGAAAATTTAAGAGAAACTTATGGAAACTACAAATGCTTAATTGTTTGTTCTTTTTTTACCTGTTGATGTTTTAAGTGGAACAGAAACTGTGTTTGTATTTGGGCAATCAGTCGACCTTTTTTCATTCGCCAGCATACACTCCATAGTATTACACTGCCGAAGATGGTAAGGATCAGCAGTATTGCCAACAGAAAACAGACAATCAACTCAATTTGACTCCATTCTCGCTCCGACAAATGATAAAATAAATTACTGTTTACTGAAAAAGTGTTTCTTTAATTTTTTGCGGTCAGACTTAATGCTTTAATTGTTATCTTGTTTAATGAATGATTTGAAAAGCCAGCTAACAAGCCACGCACAAGAAAAATAAGTAAAAAAATGAGAAAGACAGACCGAAAAAAACCAAACTAAGCTAAGAACTGACCATGAACGCCAGCAATTCGAAATGCAATGCAATATGCTCCCTCACCGTATTTGGAGCATGTCAATTTCAGCTGCACAACAGAACCTTCCAACGACAACGCGTCGGATTCATCGCCGACCCACTAGAATTGTAGTAATTACTTTCTGATCAATACAGACAATTCAGATATCCAACACTGGCAGCAACAACAAAACCGATAACGAAAAATTATTTTGTCGGTCACCGTGTCGAAAAAAAATGTCAAGATTTTTATTCAATCAGAAATCGTTAAAAAATCCTTTTTTTGCTTTTTTTTAGATCTGTAACAAAGAGCAGACACATCTTTTTTTTATGGGAACAGATAGAGTTAATTGGTGAAACATATACTGCCTTTTTTAAGGAGATCTTCTACAAATATTTTAATTGTTTTCGTCGGGTTAACGCAAAAAAAGTTCTGCGTTTGTAAACAATTAAAAAAAAAA